AGCATCAGCGAGTTTGTTAAGTAGTTCAGATATTAGGGGGAGTGGGTAATGATTCTTGATAGTGACTTGGTTTAGGCCTTGATAATCAACACACATGCATAAGGTTCTATTCTTTTTTTTTGACAAAAAGGATGGATGCACCAGCTGGGGACTTGAAGTGACAGATAAATCCTTTTCCCAGGTTTTCTTCAATATACTCTCGCAAAACCTCAAGCTCTTTGGTGGTTAGTCTGTAGATAGGACCTCATGGTGGTTGCTTATCTGGCAGCAGGTCTATGGCACAGTTGTAGGGCCAAGATTTAGGTAATTTATTAGCTTTTTTTTTATTAAAAACGTCACTGTAGTCTTGATATTTTTCTAAAATTACGGGTATTTCAGTAGAGTGGAAACTGAATGCTAGAGCTGTGAAAACTTGAACTACATATGTTTGAGCTTGGTGAGGATTTGAGGTTGGTATGTTTAGGCATTAGGCCTTGCAACTAGGATCAGAAAAGGTGATAAGGTGTTTGTGCCAGTTAATTGTGTGATTATGTAGAGCTAACCATGGTAATCCTAGAATCTTTTGGTAATGAGGGGATTGAATAAGGTTGAATGACAGTTTCTCACAGTGGCTTTGGGCACTCAAGAATAATGGACCCATCTCATGTATAACATTTCCAGAGGAAATTTTTCTGCCATTGATTACTTTGACTGTTAAGGGCATTTCTTTTACTTTGAAAGGTATGTTGTGTTGCTTAGCAAATGCTATATCAAAAAACAAGTGGACGCCCCTAAATCAATCAAGAATGCAAGGTTTACTTTTGATTCATCAAATAAATGTAAGCTTAGTCCGATAGTAAGAGTGTTTGTAGGGAACCTAGGTGATAGCCTTCTAGAGGTTAAATTGATGTCTTGTTCTAGCTGAAGCCCTCTTACTGCAGCTGGGGCTGCTCTTTTCCCAAAATCTCATTGGGAACTAAAATTGCACCAATTTTGGGTCATGGGTTGCTTTTGTTAGGACAACCCTTAGCTATGTGGCCTTGCTCATTACAGTACAAGCAGAGTCTATTTGCACATCGCTGATTTTTTTCTTCATCTGATAGTAGTTTGTACCTTAGGGTATCTATTTGCATGGGTTCAGTTAAGGGGTTTATATGGTTACTAGGGGCTTAGTTTAGACCCTTTTCACAGGTTGGGTCTCTTGAACGTTTCTGCCTTCATTCGAATAGCCTGTTATCGCATCATACAGCCTTTGATATTGCATCATTTAATGATGTAGGGCCTTCTAGGGTAAGTAACAGGTCCTTGACATCGTTTTTTAAGCCAGTTCGGAACTGGTCAATCAAAGCAGCTTCATCCCAGTCCAAGTCACTTGCAATTTGTCTGAACTCAGATGCATAGCTCAATGCTGGCCTTGTCCCTTGGATAAGTTTTCATATCTTATTAGCAGCTGTTTTAGACTTATCTATATCACCGAAAGTTGCCTCGAACTTCTTTATTAAAGCTTCAAAGTCTTCTAGCAGTTCTGATCATTTTTCCAACAAAGTGGCAAACCAAGCTAGAGCTGATCCTGTGAGTAAGCTTCCCAGAAGCCCAACTTGTGTTCGATCATCATGGTAATGATTGGGTTGCATTTGCATAATAAGATGAACTTAGTTCAAGAATCCTCTAAATTTATTTCGTATGCCATCGAACTTGTCTGGGAGACTCACTTTTGGTTCTTTGTACTGGATATCTGATCCTCTTTGGGCTTGAAGTTGATTGAGTTCATTGCAAATGTCCTCATTATTTTGATGTAAGGCCTGATTCTCAAGCTGGATTCATTGTAATATGATAAGTATCTTGTTAAGTTGTTCTTCCATATTGAGTTTTACTAATATTAAATGATGCTATAAGTGACTAAAAAAATTTTTTTTTTTTTTTTTTTTGATGATACTAATGAACAGGAATGTTTAAGTAGGGTTCAAGTTGTTTGCATCAAATGTGCTGAGATAGGTAGTAATATGTTGTTGTATGGAACTAGTTAACCAGTTCAAAGTTAAAAGTTAGTTTGCTTAAACTGTAATGGCGGGACTAGGATGGGCAAGGATTTTTAGGAGCAAATATTATTTTTTATTGAGCAAATTGATTTTTTATATAGAGGTTAGTAACATTTATATATACTTTGGAATTTTCTCTATTACTAATATGATTCTAACTTATTCTACAAATTGCACTAATTAATAACTTCATAAATTATGCATTAATAAATTGACTACAAATTATTACAAATTGACTACAAATTAACTATCATTGATGACTTTATAATTTATGTGCCATGCATCAGATTGAAATTGGTAGATCATAGGCACTGACCCGATCTTAGTTGTGGGGGATCATAGTAGCGGGGAATTGTAGTATAGTTGCAGAGAGAATCGTAGTAGCAGAAATTGTAGTATAGTTGCAGGGGAATCATAGTGGCGGGGAATTGTAGTATAGTCACGGGAATCGTAGTATAATTTCGAGGGATCGTGGTACCGATTTGCAGGTTTGTTACAGCATGCTAACAACTCCAACCCAGACTAAACATTCACTTACTTATCATATTTCAGTACTTGCCTACATGAATAACATCCTATGGCTAGCTTGAGACAAACAAACCCTTCAGCAAATAGTAAAATTAGCTGAATCCTTTTACAATATAGCTAACATTACTGTTAATTCTACTAAATTAATCTTAGCAACAAATCAAACTGCAGATCCAAACTCTATAATCAGCTTTGCCAATACAACCATATATACTATACCTCTAAAGCATATCTTCTGCTACCTTGGTTGCTGGTTTACACTTCTAAATCACCATAAGCACATTCATAATCAAATTACTACTAAAGCTACTAATCTTATCAATATTATAAAAAACAAAAAGATTACTGAAAAACAAACAATCTATATAATCAATATAATACTTGTACCTTACTTTTCTTATAGAACCATGAACATATTCATGCACCAATCTACAATGTAAAGCATAACTAATTCTTATATGCAAGTTGCAAAACACAAAGCCAGACTTGCTTTAATTATACCAAACTCAACCATATTCTATTATCAAATTTATAACCTTTGTAGTTTACCAGATATTCAAATACAAAACCACATTTCATCACTTTACACACAACTTAACAATCCTTTAACAGCTCCATCTATCAAAATTATAATTTAACATTTTCAAAATGCTACATTTTATCTAACAATATTCTGCTTTTACCTAATTACATATTACCTACCAAATTTCATAACACACTTATAGCCAAACAATCAAAGCAGCACATCAGCTTGATATGCAGATTTCAATCTCTCTAATTCCTAGCCTATACCAACTATTTACAAAGCACCTCAATTGATATACTGATCAAATTTTGCAACAAATCAATACATATTAAATCACTAACTACCAAAGCCAATATATATGCCATTGAACAACTTACTAACTACACAAATACACAACTACTTTCATGACAATGCATTGCATTTAAAACATTTAAAATACCAAGAAGTAGGATTCTAAAATGGTTTCATGAACTACACAATACATTCTACATATCCACAACACCATTCATTTCCACAATCACTCCTAACCCATTTACTACAAACTCTATAACATTAACAGGAAGCATATGGATTTTTATAAAAGTTAATAATACTTGAATCATAGGAAAAATCAAAAAAATTATCAACTCAAATAACACAATACATATCAAACACTATTGTTTACCACCACCAGAACTTCAATATACAGCCCAACTCTTAAAATATCTAAACTGCAAACACACTTGTACTGCTGCCAGTTAGCAATATATAATTATACTTAAAATATTCAATGCATTGCCATTAAAGTATCTAGCTTAAAATTTCTTTAAACTGACATCAATGATCTAACACAACATCATCTACACTTTAAAAAACAAAAACTATTATATTATCAAACAAATTACCAACATCATACTCAAATGTTACCTTAGCACTACAAAATAACTCTCATTTACTAACTATATCAGCTTCATCAAGCAACTTTTCACAACAACTATTTATGCCAAATACTGCTAGCACATGTTTGCTGCATCTGAAAACAATTAATTCACAAGCCAAAAAATTTCAACTATACCTCTATGCAACTATAACCCAACCAAATACACCACACTCACTGGCCCAATTTGCCTGGACTTTAGCACCAACCAACATTACATTTTTTTCCCAAATTACATATTGGCTTTCAATCACTTAAGCATACCTTATTGGTATTATAACAATACTGACTACTGCTTCACAATACTGTCAAATAACTGTTCTGATGACCCACAAGCTTACAATTAACTATATTAACTCATTTCTGATACTAATACCAAATTATACTTTTAGTTTACAAAAACACAACCACTGGCTACTTAAACTTCTAATTCCAACAATTATCGCTCACAAACATCTTAAAATTAAATGTTCCTATATTAAGGACCTTGATAACCACACTCTTTACAACAGAACAACCTATCTCTCTATCAAACACAACAATACAAGCTTCATATTTTTTTACATGCTCTCAATAATAACAACTTCTACCATATCTGGAATGAAACTCCAATAGAAAATAAAACCTGTAATTTTATCTGACATCTACAAAATACAACAAACACTGCAAAATAGCATGCTCTAAACAGAACTAGTCATTGGAATATTATACACCAAAACACTAATTGGGATCTAATATATCAATTTATTAATTATAACAACAAACCTAATATCCACAATACCCATCAAAAGCACTCTTAACTAAAAAGTTTCAAAATCAAGTTCCTACTAAATAAGCTATTTACATTTCTAAACCTACATTACAGAAAACCTAAAACATATACTAACCCTACTTGCAACCACTGCACATTATATATAGAATACAATTTACACTGGCTAGAATGCACTACAAACTCTATTTCCCTCAACTAGCTAATTCAACAAACTATATATAAGTTCAGTACGAAGCACAAACTTGAAAGCCACAATATATCTATTCTATCACAGCAGTTTCCCAAACACAAAGTGCTATGCAACTTCTTTTCAAAATACAAGGTCTGATTCCTGACAACATGTCTACAGACTGCAACATTACTCCATATTTACTTACTAATCTATTTCACAAAATATCAAACAATATATACAAACAATTATAGACTGAAAGATTATGTAATAGAATTTACTTTTTTTTTTTATATTAGTATATATTTATTTTTAGCTTTATATTATATTTTATATTTTTTTTAATATTTTTACATAGTTTATAGATT